GGGAACCGACTGCCTTGAGAAAAGTTTCTTTGGCATTTTCATTTCATCTTGCCTGTAATGCCTGATAATGTAGCATTTATAAGTGCAGCGCTGCTTTGTGCGACAGATTTTATAGCACGCATGCTTAAACCATCTGCGAATCCTCTCAAGCAATTCCCAAGCAGTCCACCTGTCTAAATCAAAAGTGTAATGTGTCAAGATCTCTATTCTTTCACCTTTCAAAACACGAGTATGTGGTGAGTTTATGTAGCTTAATGTTGAACATAGAAGGCAGATTAATCGTTAAACAGTTTGCTATACTGATACTTTGCCTCTTTGAAGTATCAGCAAGAAACTCAGAAGCTGCCAAATAAGACCACATTCATTATCAATCCAGCAGAAAGGTGGGGATACAAAAGCTGAATTCAGTGTTTTTGAAGTGTCTATAAGAAATAAGACAAGCATAACTTTTGGAACAATTCAGAATTTAAGCTCGGGTTAGTTTACAGGTAATATAAGCACAGTAGTTAAAGTATTCCTGCTCGTATCTCATCTTTGTGTGCTATTCTATAATATCTGAATCTGGGATCAGTAAGGTCTCTTATCTGGGCTTGTGAGTGCAGTGTCTCATCTCGTTGGGTTTCTCGTGCTGCTGAGATGCATCCAGACCTTTCACAGTCTGCCTTGCTCTGATAAGAGCTTCTGGTGCTATTTTAAGACACGGGGAACTTATAAGTGTGAACCTTCCAGCTGAGAGAGTCTGTGGATGTTGTTAATATTTCAGATATAAGAGTTGTTTTTTTCACTGCAGGAGGGGAGTAGGTGTAAAACTGTTCTCATAATGCAAGGTTAAAATCTGTGGGAAAGCCTTAAACTGAGTGCTCTACTTGTTTAGTGAGCATCTGATTGGAAGAGCTGCATGATGGACTGTGAATTTATATTTATAATTAAATTTATTAATTTATACACTACCATTCAAAGTTTTGGGGTCAGTAAGATTTTTTTATGTTTTAACTACAGTAAAACTACAGTAAAACTGTGAAATATTATTACAATTTAAATAACTTTGCTATTTGAATATGTTTTAAAATGTAATTTATTCCTGTGATGCAAAGTTGAGTCCAGTGTCACATGATTCTTCAGAAATCATTCTAATATGCTGATATTCTGCTTTGTGTTTTCATGGAAACCATGATACTTATTTTTGACTTTCATCAGTATTTCTTAGATGAAAATGAATAGAAAGGTCAAAAGAAAAGATTTAATTTGAAATCGCCATCGTTTTAACATTATAAATGTCTATTATTGTCACTTTTGATCAATTTAATGCATCCTTTCTGCATTAAAAGTATTAATAAAAAAAAAAATCATATTGTCCCCAAATGAGTGGCTTAGTAAATAAATATAAATTGATACTTCAGAATATTTATTAATATTATATTTCATACTTATATTTCAACTCATTTATATTTATAGTGAATTAAAACATCTTTGATTTATCCAAAACCTTGATCATACGATTGGGCAAGCTTGTGCTCATTTTTAGGTGATTGCAGACTCACTTTGTGATTAAGGAGAGAGCGGGCATGAACCTGTTTTCCCATTGGCGTTCCAGGTTTCCTGTGACCACACTGATTCAGCAGTGCTGACAGAGGAAGCTGTGATGGAAAGATGCTAATGTAGCTAAAAGCAGATGGCTTCCACTCATTGTTCTGCTATCTCTTGGTTATTTCGGTTGTGGTATCATTCACTCGTCATCATTACTGGGTGAGGGTTAGGGACAGATGCTCTATTCCAAAATGTCTACATTTTCTAATAAAGCATGTAACCAGCAAAGCGTAATACTCTTGTTTTTGCACAGTGATTGTTTGACGGGTGAGTAGGCGGTCATTTGATCTCACTCAGGACATTTACACTATGAAGGCCAATTGCAGTGCGCTCATTGTGACTGCCAAATTTTGGACCCTGTTTACACCTGCATTTTAGTGCTGAGCACTTGATTCAAGAGCTTTTCGTGCCTCTTCACTGTATAATTTTATTACAGGTGCATGCTTGTGGCATAACAACACTCGTCATTCCATTCTAGCCAGAACTGACAGTTTTCATTGTTTATTTTTGACTTGGAGAATGACATGATGGCAGTGTAATAGTGACACACTGATTTAAAAACAGAATGACTGACAACTGAAGCGCACTGAAGAGCGAGGTGTGTGTTAGAGTCTTACAGCACAGCAGTTGATAGTGCATGTATAAAAGATATAGTGTCTCACACACCTGAATCAATCACACTGTATGTGTGTCAGGCCTAATATAAACTCCAAAAAAATGTAGAAATCCAGCACGCCTTACAAAAGTTTTTAGATCTGTAACAGTTCGGTCAGTCGACTTTCCTCAGGCTCACAAAACACTCAAAAAAAAAAAAAAAAAGAAACCGTTCAAATAGCAAATTATCGAATTGTAGAATTATGTTTGTGTTTGTGCTTTCTTTTTGATTATTTGTAATTCTATGTTAATAATTCTATATTAGTTGTAGGGCTGGGTGACTTTCCTAATTTTATCAGTTATCCAAATGTTTTGAATAAAAGTATTAGATATCTTGACAATATGCCAATGATAACAGTTAAGAGAGAAAAAAATCCAACCGTATTAACGTTGAAAATATTACTAGTCCTATAAGGGGATATTCATAAAAATGTGTTTGTATTGAAAAACATGAGACATAGAATGGTGGAAAACACTCAAGGTTATGAGATGCGAGTTGAATTTCTTTTAGTTTGAGTGCCACATTTTTAGAAAGCCATTTCATGTGCAAGACGCTGCAAAAGACACACACAAACAAAACGGTCAAAACATCCATCAAGCACATGTTTACATAGAAAAAATAAACTTTCTTTGAGTAGATGGTTTTGCAAGTTTTTAATGAAGAGAATGTTAATTGAATCATGTTGTAGTTACATTTTTAAGTTGACATTAAACATTAAAGTTAAACATAAAAAAAAATCGAAATAGTTACCATGAATCTGTCAAACATTCTGAAAAAATGCCATTGGAATAAACACGCGGTAGACCAGCGGGTTCCTAGTCTGACGTCAGCCTGTGCCGTTGGCCTGAAAGCACTGGGGGTTTGTTTCAGCAGCGGTTAAAACACACACAAAGCGTCAGACAGGCAACAGTGATGAATGATTCGGAAGCGTTCTAGGCCACATCGAGCAGGCAAGTTATACGTAAGGACCCATTCTGAGAAAAATCCAGACCCTCGGGCATGTGTGCATAAACTCGCATTCAGACAGAGGCTAAATCTCCAGTGTCTTAAGCAAACAAGATTCGCCCACACGGGTCAAATGCTGTCAGACCAACTCACCATAAATGAGAAATTTGCCTGCGTAGTTTGAATTGCAGATAGGAGTTTCCTGTCGGTGTGTAGCCCGTAGTCACCACAAGCAAATACCTGCACGCACCTGAGCGTGTCTCCCATAAATCCCTGCAGCTGATGGAACGAGGAGATCCAGCATGCCCAATGGGATTTTTTTTGTTCTTCATACTAGAATAGACAATCGGTTGCTTTTTACTGCTTCAGATTGCATCACAATGTCCACATGTTGTACATTTAATGATGAAGTTTAAATTAAGGATGCACTGAAATTTTGGGACCAAGAAAAAAAAAAAAAAAAAAACAGAAATCCATGGCTGAAACTTTGAAATGTGAAATGATACTGGTTTTAGTGTGAATGGGAAATCTTGTTATTTAGGGAGAGGGAACAATACTAATCTAATAATGACCAAAGAACTGGTAATGAGGATGAGAATTGAATGAATATTATAAATATTCACTGGAGATTTTGAATCTAAATAGCATGAATTTGAAAAGAAATGCCCTTTGTTCAGCATTGGTTTCAGAAACCCTTATAAAGCATGTAAAGCACTGCTAGTGTTTTTCAGCGGTCAGCACTTGTTAAACTCCACGTATGACTCGGTTTCTTTTATTCCTGGGATTGAATGCTGTTAACGGTGTCTGTATGACTGCACCCTCTTGTGGAGAAATCATAGGGACACTTTTATCAAAGAGAAAATACCACATGCAACTGACCGCTACTTATAAAAAATGTAAGCCATTTTATAACACGTTACAAAATATAATGGTTTGTATTTTAGACTCTAGGCATGAAACCTTTGCTACACTACCATTCTAAAGTTTGGGGTCAGTAGGATGTATATATATTTTTTTAATTAATTCATACTTTTATTCAGCAAGGACAAGGTAAACTGATCAAAAGTGACAGTAAAGTGTATATTATTCCAAAAATAGTGCCTGTTTTGCTCAAGCTCGTCCCACTTTCTCATGTGCTTTCTGTAGAATTTTTGCTAGGTGAAGAAGTAAGTTTGAGGGTACATTTTGAATTTGGTGCATTTAACATTGAAACCAAAACTTTTGACATTTCACTGCTTTTATTGTTTTGACAAGTAGCCTAGATTAAAACTGACACATACACTGTAAAATAAATATATACTGCTAATTTTCTGCCAGGACATTATCAATTAATTTTATGGACATTTTCATTAACTCTAACGCACAACGCAATGCAGTGCAATTTAATTTTTTTGGATATATACTGTATATTTGAAAAATCTTCATTCTTATTTTGTGAAAAAAACTGTACATGATGCACTGTACATGAACTGTACAGAGTTGTGTAATAATCAGAAATGTTTCTTGAGCTGCAAATCAGCATATTAGAATGATTTCTGAAGATCATGTGACTGAAGACTGGAGTAATGATGCTGGAAATTCAGCTTTGATCACAGGAATAAATTATATTTTAAAATATAATGAAACAGAAAACTTTTCTTTTCTTATAATATTTAACTATATTATTATAAATGCTGCCTTGGTGAGCATATGAGACTTCTTTCAAAAACTTACGTCAAACAGTAGTGTAGTTAGTAGTTAGACAGACACGTGTTTAATGTTGTCACGACACGTTGATTGACATTTATCATTTATCATTATGACTGTTTTCCAGCAGTCAGCAGAGTAGTCAACAGAGCAGCCAGCAGAGCAGCCATGACGACGATTCCAGCCGCTTCCTGACTCCCTTCATCCGTGAGGACAGGTGAGTACACTGTGTGAGTGTCTGCATGCACTGTACTTATCAGAAACATCAATACTTTTTTATAAATGAATTGACGTGCAGAGATGCTCAGACTCCCAGAGCTCAGGGTGCAAAGAGGAAGCCTTAGATAATGTTCAACTCAGCGACTTTAACAAGCATGAAAGGCATAGAAATGGATTAAACAGCCAAGCTTGATCTGGTAATTATAAAAGTTTAACGTTTACGGTGACTGGCTGAGTGGAAAAACCTCCTGGTGATTCAAAATATCTGGTCTGAAATGCCTTTCAGAACAGGACTTTAAACGTTTAATTTCATTTGATAGAGAGCAGTTTGTAGATTTGTCTGTCATGATCTCTTTGTTTCAAAATGTTCCTTACATGTACATTTATACATTTAGCAGACACATGTACGTTGCACAGAATCAAACTTGCAGTTTTGAGAGAGAAACAATACAGATAAGTCGCATTGGTGTTTATTATTACATTGAAACATAATGTAAAATACAGATTAAAAAAAAAGTTTGCAATATTCAGGACAGAGCAGGATATTTGTTTTATATAAGTATAAAACAAACAGTGACATTCGTTATAAACAACATTTCTTTTAAACACCAAGCCTAAACCGATATATTTAAAGTTAAATTATCAGTGTGGGAAATGCACAAATAAATAAGCTAAAAAATCTGTCTGTACGCATCATACACTAAGTGATTTCTTTGCTAAATATTTTAACTCAGACTGCTGACCGTCTTTAAGCAGCTAGTGAACTAAAGTTTGGGACAAAAGTCTGGTCAGAACAGAAGTTGTGTAATATATTCCAGCTTTACAATTCACCTCAAACTGATAAAAACACTGTTGATTTTCTCACAGGGCTGACAGCGGGGCAGACAAGTGTAGGTAAGTGTGTGTGTGTGGTAAATATAGTAATCTTGATTCACATATCTCTGCAAACCTCAGTGCAAAGGTTGTTTTGTTTGAGGTGCGATATATCTCAGAGCCCCACTGTACTTTTGTGAAGTTGAGCCCTGAATACAGTTGCAAGCTACGGAATGTCATTGTTTGCCTTTTTATTGGACAAACAGCTCCGATCACAATGCCTGGGAACAAACAGAGCTGGGGCTTCAGCCGTTTCGCTTTCTCTTCATTTCTGTATCTGACCTCCAAACAAGAAATAGCAAAGGCCAAACATCTGAGCTGTAGTTGTGGGATTAGAGATAAGCGTCTGTAATTGTCTAGGAACAGAAGGTAAGTGAAGGCCAAACACAGATTAGATCTTGTTTTGAGTCCGAAGAACTGATGCTTTTAAGCAGTTTTGTCAGTACGGTTGCATTTGTTCGTGTTTTGTGCATGGAAATGTTCAAATCCTCTCTGTAAAACACTCTCTACAAATTTTTCATTCGTGATAACTGCACTTACATCTGTTTCTGAACAAAGTTTTTTCACTGGAGTGTTTCTACATCAGCTCCTGTAGAGAAGTGCTGCGTGATTCTGATGCTTTTCTGATGATCTCTCTACAGCTGAATATAAAGGTGCTTTAAGATGTGCTTCACAAAACTTTCAAAGGTTTAAAGTGAAGTGAAGTGACATGTGGCCAAGTATGGTGACTCATACTCGGAATTAGTACTCTGCATTTATCCCATCCAAAGTGCACACACACAGCAGTGAACACACACACACACACCGTGAACACACACCCGGAGCAGTGGGCAGCCATTTTTTGCTGCCCGGGGAGAGAGCGCTGTACATTCACTTTGGGTTACGAGTCCGACTCTCTAACCATTAGGCCATGACTTCCCTAGAACATGCTTAAGGCATAGAGTAGGACTTAAAGGGATAGTCCACGCAAAAAGGAAAATTCTGTCATTTGCTCACCCTCCACTTATTCCAAACCTATATGAGTTTCTTTCTTCTGTTCAACATAAAAGAATATATTTTGAAGAATGTTGGTAACCAACCAGTTGTCATACTATGAAATTCAATGGCTGCCATCAACTGTTTGGTTACTGGTAGCCATTGACTCCCATAGTATTTTTCCCCCCATACTATGGAATGGCTCAATGGCTACCATTTTGTGCTCAACGGGGAAAAAACCTCAGACAGGTTTGGAATAACTTGAGGGTGAGTAAATGATGACATCATTTTCATTTGTGGGTGAATCATCCCTTTAAACTGAAGTTTTTGAAACTTCCCTTTCACATTGCCAATGAGACTGTGATGCGTTGAGTTTTACAGCACCATGATATTCAAGAAGTAATTGCTGTGTTAAATGCATTAGATGCTCTTTGTGGACTTCTATTTTTGGTTGACATGCTCTTGAAAAAAAACAGCACAAGAAGTGTTGCATTGGTTTGTTGTTGTGACCGATCCATCCTTTGATTTGGAGGTCAAATCTTCTGTTCTGATGCTGAACAGAGGCTGGCCTTTTGTCCTGATGTTTTGCTCTGTTCTGAGTGGTCAAGACTGTTGTCTGACCACCACCACATATCAGTTTAACGAGTGACAAGAGGCACAGCCCATCTCTTTTGTTTCATGTCATTGGCCGCCTGTAAAACCCACCACAATAGGTGCTGTGTAAAAGTGTGGCTTTAACTCATTGTCTCATGTCAATACAATATTTAACTGAGCCTTTGGCTCTCTGCAAAGGACAGCTCTCTAGAGTCTCACATTGTTATTTACATGCTGCTGACCTCCTCATTTTTGGCTTATTTTTGTACATATAATAGTGTATCTGTGATATCACAATTGTTTCACCTAGAAAGTAATGAAATTAATTGGTGTTTCACACCCAGACTGCAAATGAGTGCTCTTTAACGTTGAAATAATGTCATTTTAAAGGGACAGTTCACCCAAAAATGACAATTCTGTCATTATGTATTCACCCTCATGTCGTTCCAAACCTGTGGGAGTTTCTTTCTTCTGCTGAACACAAAAGAAGATATTTTGAAAAATGTTGGTAACCAAACAGTTGACGGTAGAAAGTAGTATGGAAAAAACTACTATGGAAGTCAATGGCTACCATCAACTTGGTTACCAACATTCTTTATATCTTCAATATGACCTCAGCATTTCTTGAATGTTTTCATTTATTCGCTCGAATACAGTATTATATAGAGAGAGCAGAATGCAGCTTTGTTCTGTCTCTGGAATATGAAGTGCTGGAATGTGTCCAGTGATCTCTGTATGAAAGGAAGCATATGAGTGTTGTGCATATGGAGGGTCAGTCCAGGTGAAGTGTGTGACTCCGGATGAGGAAATCAGCCGCAGGCTCTCCGATTCCTTCTGTAGCTGAAGAGGCAGAGCAGCGGAGGAGTGCAAATCCCTCCATCTCCCAGCCGTAGCCAGAATTAGCCTCAGATTACTCACAGCCACAGCAGTTCTTCCATTGACATAACCCTGTCATCCTCACCCTCTCTCCTCCTTACTATCTACAGCACAGCTGAACCCAGCACTCTACTTAGAGAAACTCAGTTTATGAGAAACGAGAAAGGGAATCCTAAACTGAGAGAGCGATAAGGTGAGCGAAATGAATTGTACACCTTCTTCAGTGCTTCTTTTCAATGGTTCCTTCAATGGAAAGGTGGAGGTTCTTTGTTGTTTTATCAACCTGCTTTGCTCTACGAGTAGGTGAGTGAATGTTAGATGGAATCAGACTCACTTTTCGTTTGATTATGGTCTGATATTGCATGATCATCTTACACTCTTAAAAATGAAGGCATCTATGAGTCCATGAAGGTCCATGAAGATATCAAGGAGAGATCGTGTGTTTATGTAAGCATAAATTTGAAATGATTTGTGTCATAGATATGATGGTTAACCAACTACATGTGAGGAGAGCAACCTCTGCAGAAAATTTCTTCACTCAGCTCTGCTGGTGTAAGTCCAGTGTTCCCGTGTCTTTGTTTTTCTCCCCATGACCTAGTTTCTCCCTCATGTTTATTATGTTCATTGATTTCAGCTGTGTCCCAATTAGTTCCTTGTTTCTTAAGCCCTGTGTTTTTCCATGTCTAGCATCCGGTATTGTTCGGTTATCCCCTGCTACGTGTGTGTTCCTTGTTCCTTGGATAAATAAAGACTTTCCTAGTTGTAAATGCTCCTACGTCTCCTCGCTCCGACACAGTAGCAGCACCGTGACAGAATACTGGTCCTGCAAAAAGTAAGCGGCGCCCCTTCTTCCCGTTTGGTTTCCATTTTTGAAAGTATTTTGATTTCCGTTTTTCCCCCTGCGGTTATGGAAACCGCTGCTCAATTCTCCGCCCTAGCCCGCAGAGATCTCCCGTTCGTGGAGTACACCCGGGAATTCTGCGGGCTAGCTGTGATGACGGCGTTAGATGACGCCACACTAAACTCACTGTTCTGGATCGGGGCCAACTACCATTACCCCGTGGACCTCTGTAATGTGGTGTTTTGGGTTGTCTTGTTCATGTTTTCATGTCTTTTATTTTGTAGT